ATTTTGTTATCAGTTAAGAAATAACTGAATATAGTTAACAAATAAATGAATATAGTTAACAACCTCCTAAATTTTGTTATCAGTTAAGAAATAACTGAATATAGTTAACAGCTCTGATATAGAATTTAACAAATCCCTAAATTTTGTTATCAGTTAAGAAATAACTGAATATAGTTAACAGCTCTGATATAGAATTTAACAAATTCAAAGTTAACATGCTACATATCATAAGTTCAAACATTAGCGTAGATATAGAACCGCCAAATAACGTTACCTTATTCCCGGAAAGAATGCATTTGCCCATTGATCAGGAGAGTAGTTCACAGCAATGTTGTATGCCCTTGGATCTATGTGATATATCTCTTTCATGTACTCATTCCATTCTGCTATTGTGTATTTATAACAAGCAGCTTGGAGTAAGTTCCCCAGAACATGAGTGTCCTTCAACTTCATACCCAAGTCCTTAAGCTTTCACCTGAAATTTTCAACAAGATGTAGAACACACATCGATTGTAGAGCTTCTGGAAAATACTCTTTTACTAATTCTTTAATTCATTTGTCCGTATTAGAAATTATAACCAATTGGTGGGGAGGATTGTAAGGGTGAGCCCTCTCATAAAGTATGGACCATAGACCTTAGAGGAACCACTTCCGATTCATCAAATTCTCTTGATCACATATGCAATACGCTAAGGGAAATATACATTGGTTCCCATCGTATGCTATGGCCGAAAGAAGCATACCTTTATATCAATCCTTCAAAAATGTACCGTCCAAAAATAGAAGGGGTCTGCATCCACTCAAGAAACTATTGATGCATGCAGCATAACAAACAAAGAGTCTTGAAAACCTCCCCTCATTCTGGTCAACATGTATATAGCTGCCGGGATTTGTCTCTTTTACCATGCGCTCATACCTAGTCGTGTACGAAGAAACAAACCAACAAGTTAACATGTTATTCATGTAGCTTAACAAGTGACCAAAAAAAGTTAACATATTATCAGGGTAACTTAACAAGTTAACACATAAAGTTAACAAATTATATGCGTAACTTAACAATGTAATAGCGAAAGTTAACATGTTAGTGGTGAAACATAACGTGTTATCAATATTATCAGTGAACTTAACAAGGAACATGTTAACTATTTGTTTTAACAAGCAAACTTTGAAACTTAACAAGTTAACAATTATATATCCCTGTAAAGCTTCTCTTGTGCTCTCCCCCCCACCATATCTTACTGTAATCAATTCTAAGGCCATAGTTTGTGAGGAACTCCTTTTGCACATCAACGAGTCGGATTTCTGGATGGACCTTCAGGAATGGTTGTAACTGTGTTGCAATGAAATTACGGGATGCCCTTGAACGACCTGCATTTTACCCGTGCTGTCCACAAGTGTGTTCATTAACAAACTTCTTGATCGAAAGTCTCTTTTCATTCTTAACAGGTGAAGCAAACAACATCCATGGGCACTCGTAAGTTTCTTTATATCGGCAATATACACGGATACGTTTTGGTTCGTTCTTTTTAAACTCATAATCAAACATTTTGGCAAGAGCATAATATGTCAGCGCCAACCTTAATTCTTTAGCACTCTCAAATTCTTGACCCTCTTCAGTTATTGTATTATGCCACCAACCAGGAATCATTAATGTGTTGTTAACAATGTCATCAGACCGCACTACAATGCTATCGTTGGGATTATCAATTGGATTCTTTCTGAACCATGATTTACGGTAGAAGTTCTATCAATAAACTGTGGCTTCAATGTATTCATAATGCTGCACAAATATAAACAGGACTTGTAGTTAAATTCTACGGTACCTTTAAAAGTTAACACATATGCCCTAAAGCTTAACAACCTTGGGTAGAAAGTTAACATATATCAGTTAAAAGCTAACATTTAACCTGAAAGAATTCGCTATGTTATCATTTCTCCACATTTTACTCACGCAATTCACAAGTTTTCAAAAAATTGAAGTGTAAATATAACTTACATTTCAGGAGGTTGCTTCGGGGTATTCTGACATCTGAAAACATCTACATCTATAGTAGCTCGAATATGGATCTCTAGACACCCGATATTACGGTTGTGCTCCGCCATACACTCCATATCATTCTCATTCTCAATCTCAAAACTCAGATCAGGGATCCTTTCAGATTTACAAACCATTGATAACGCATCATAAGGAACCTTCAACCTCTCAGCCACGTCAAACTTAAACTCAAAAAAAGAGGTTGCACACGTTACCCTTGAGAACACTGCTCTCTCACCCAAGGAAACCATGCAAATAAGGGGGTTCTCCGCCATAAATAAATGGGATTTAAGAGGATTTATGAAGGGCACTTTAGGACAAGTAGGGGGTTGAAGATCATAAACCCTAACCGCATAAATCTGCCATTTGCACCATAAATACACTCTATTCAAAGACGAGTGGGTTACAAGGATATATAATGGAGGGAGCGCGCCAAAATTCCCTCCCAAAACGGCCATCACCTCGCCTTAATTGCGACGGGAAGGGATCGCCAGCGATCAGATCTCGTTTTCGAGGCACGGAGAGAAAGGCGGGGGTATTTTAGGGTCTCTGGGTGCAAATACGGCTGAGAGAATGGCATTTAGGGCTCAGTTTTTTTTTTTGAATTTTTAAGTGCTTAGCCATATGGGCCAAAGTACATGGGTCTGTGCCACATGAGAAGTCAAATTTTGGGGCCATGAAGCAAGTTTTCCATATATATATATATAAGTTTGGTAAACCTTTTAACTGACCTATTCTCAATTCAAAAGCATTTCTCAATTGCTACCCATATACTAGTAGCTTTTTGTTGCTAAATATAAAACAAATAAATGTTATCTAACCAAAATAATTATAATATTTCTCTAGAGTTTCTACTGACATTGCATCCTTCCGTCGACCTTTTCGCGACAAAAACCAGATTACTTAATCCAAGAAAAATTAAAATGATAAACTTAGCAGAAACTAGCAAAATAAATAGAGTACGTATAAATGACAGATATATCAAAGAAAATAGGATCTTTGACCAAAAAAAAGGAAGAAGAAAATTTTACGATCATGTCATGCTGCTGTCTACGCCAGTGCGTCCTAAAAAAAATGAAGAAAGAATCAAGAAGTATGGGAAATTAGTTTTGATCTACAATCCATTTAAGTGCATTGATTAAGATGAACTCCAATGCTCTCCTACAAGACAAGGATATATGAGAAAATGCTAGCTAATAAATAGTTTAAAAATTCTCAGCTACCAAAATGCGTTGGCTTATTAAGTTTTTGGATAGAACCTAATTAAAACCATAAAATAAATTTCTGGTCAGGACTTAATTGCATTTCCGGTTGATGGAATCATACAAGAGCATCAAAGTGAGCTAAAGAGGTAGCTACCCATGCAGTAATACTTAATGAGCTCAGAACGAGCGCAGCCCAATGAATGAAACTTCTAGTCTAGTATTAAAGGCTCTCTTTGATTTGAGGGAAATTGCGAGAAAAGAAAAAGTAAAAATACGAAAATAAATCAAATTTTATTATGTTCCCTTAATTAACGGTTTCATGACTTTCATCCCTGTCCAACTACTAAAAAACGATAACCATAAGCAAAGAATGAACAAATGAAGAAAAAAAATGAATATTTTTTCTTCAATTTGCCGGCCCTACATTTTGGCTGTATCACCATCTCCATCATCATCAAGCCACAGGCCCACAGTTATGAAAAAAAAAAATGAATAACTGAAGAGTTCTTACTTAGACGTGCTAGCGGTTTTTAATCTTGATCTAATATCAAAATTGTTTTTTATGGGGTTGGCACCCATAGTCGCCTGCTCATGACTAACCTGAATATAGTAAATGGAACTACAGATTCATTGGTTCAAGTGAAAAAGTTATGTACATAGTTTTCATGGTTTTAGTGAAAAAGTTTTTTAATGGTTTAATTGAAAAAGTTCGTGCAGCATATATGGTAGGGAAATAGCCTCAAATTCGTCTGGATGTCTCTATTTTATCATGATAAATATGCTTTCAAATTCAAGTCCACCATTTGATTAGTTGCAAAACCCCGGAGATTCGCATTTTTTGTTATAAAAATATATTTCCATTGTAACAAGTGTTTGTTTCTCCACAAATGTAAAGAGATATATTTACAAGTCAAAATCAACTAATTAGATGACATGACATTATATTTTTAATTAATGTAAGCACTTGCAACATTTATTGCAGCTAAGGGACTGTTCGGTTCGCTATTATAAGGGGTGGAAAACTCAGAAAACCTCTCAACATTAGATTTTTAGTCATCCACGTCAGTTTTTTTGTTTCCGTCCATTTCTTTGTGCCGCTTTGGTTCGCTCGGATGGAAGAGGAAAAACTCTGCTGATTTTTTTGTTTCCGTCCATTTCTTTGTGCCGCTTTGGTTCGCTCGGATGGAAGAGGAAAAACTCTGCTGAAATCGCCGTCTTTGTGCCGCTTTGGTTCGCTCGGATGGAAGAGGAAAAACTCTGCTGAAATCGCCGCCAGCTCAGATTTTTTTCCTCTCCGATTTCCTTCCTCAACCGAGTAAAATTGATGAAAACTCTACCACGTCAAATTTTTTTTCTTCTCTGCTTTGTTTACAAAAGTTTTCTTTTTTCCTATGTGAACAAAACACAAAAAAAAAAAACGTTGGTTTCTCACCATATTTTATGTGCGAACCAAAACAAAACAATCTATTTCTTAGAAAAATTCGAAAAACTCAAAACTTGTATTTCTTCACATGGAATTGCATTTCCCTATATCAAGGAAACGAACCAAACAGCCCCTAAATTGACTGCAGCAAATGCCTCAAGTTTCTTCTACAAAATGTAGATCCAATCACCATCTACAACCACCTTGTTGTAAACCACACACTGAAATAGAAATTTTGTTTACTACTTGCAGCTGTAAACTTATTTCCAGTCAACCAAACAGTCCCTTGAAGGGGAAAACAAGTTTATTTTCAGAGCATCAAAAATACACAACTCAATAAGCAGTTTAATCTCAGTAAATAAGCAGTCTAATAAATAATAGAGTACAAGAAGTGTCAACAGAAACAAGCCCATGTTCTCATTAGTTTAAATCATAATAAAGATCACATTACACACTGAATACAAGTCCCAACAGATTAATCTAGACTGCATTCTTCTGAGGATTTAAACCGATGTCCACTTATAGGATGAGACTTGAAAAGATTATAGTATAGTGGTGCTACTTCTTGAGATGGGGGAAGCACTGGTTAACATCAGACTTAGGGTGTTTTGCTTCAGCATGCTCCCTGCACTTCACTTCTGATGTTGTACAAATGAATGTCTGCATGCATACCTTGCACTGTATTCAGATGAAAAGGGGGGAAATCATTAGTAAACAGCAATAGAAAAAAAAATTACAAGAAGCATTTAAAAACTTAAAAAAAAACATGTTGATATCTTTGCATGAACATAATTGCAAGCATCAACATATGAGATGCACCTCATTTTGTGCCTTTTACATGAACGACACACTTTTTACCACGGATATGAATAACACCTCTTTAGCTGATGGGAAATATGCGGTTGGATGCACATCTAAAGAATTAGACCTTAAGAGGAGAGAGTAACATGCCAAAAATATAACTTAAATCTTCTAGAGCAAAGATTATCTTAAATAGAACTTTATTTACTTCTATGATATTTATAAATTCTTAGCATAGGGATATGAATTTCCTGAGATTCATGCCTCACGACTTGAGGCTTATACTTTGCTTCAAAAGATGCTTTAACAATTCACCTTGTGACTTTGCTTTTTAAACACTGCTAACAGCAATTCCAGTGATAGAACTACTTCACATGGAAGAGTTTTAGTTAGAAATGGATGCAGTAACAACCTAAATCTATTCTGCAGATACAAATATCCATTTGCCTACTTATTACATGAATTGATGCACACATATGCTGTAAACACATATAAAAAATATAGACATGTCAGCAGGGTTGTAAAAGTCCCCCGCAAAAAATTTTCCCATTCACGTGTCCAAGCAAAACTGAAATTTTCAAACTGCATTTGCATATGCAAATTCCATTATATGAAGATAACATTTTATATATCCACTAGGTCTCTATACTGGATTACTGGTAAATGAGTTTCCAGTAGACGTTTAGAAACAAAAAAAAAAAGGCTAAACCACCTTGTTGTAGAAAAGGTCTCAAGAAAAACCCTACTAAAGCCCCCACCTAAGCATTAAAAAACCTGTTCGGTCTTCACTTAGCCAAAATATATAAGGAAAAAACCCGCTTAACATGCTTTCCAGTGTCAGATAGGATCAAACTTTAAAGGTCCACATTCGATCCTTCATGCACTTATTTAACATAACGCAACTTTGACTAAAACCAACTTTGCTTTCGAAAAGTTGTACTCCACTAAAAAGTAAGCACACCACCCTGCAACCTCGCTTCACTTTTCACTTTTCACAAGATGATTAGTCACTAGTCCTGATCAAATGGGAACTAAAACAATAAATAGTCACTAATCCTATCTTTTATTTCCATGGCGCATAGGTTCATAAAAGCCTCATCGTGTCCCATCTACAATATGATACATAAAAAACTATTATACAAGCAAAACAAACTGACATGTTCTGTGAATTTGCTAGGTATCTATTAGTTTTACTTGCAAGGGGCACAATCAAAATCAAAATTAAATCATGCCAATTACTACATTTACCTGCCATCACCAGCGTAACTGTAAAAATAATCATTATTAAAGCATGTTAGGCTAATTAAAACCACAGTACAAAGAACAATGCAGCACTCTAACAACAGCATCCACAATGAAGCATAGGGTTTGTTAATGGAGAACAGACACCAATATTAGGTTTTCCAAGAAAAAACTGAATTGAATCGAGTTCCAAGCTAGAGACAGGACCTCTGGATATCAAGCTAATAACATGAGTGATCTGGATACAAACATCTTCACACCATCTAAGATTCTTTAACAGATTTCATATCCCAATAATTATATAATGATTCTTCACAGTTTCATAATATTGTCCATCCCCAACTCTAATGTAAGTTTCGTATGGCTTTGCAACAACATGCAATCCTCAATCAGAATGTCATTTTCTACTTCAGTTCTAGATGAAATTATGAAACTTGATCACAATGTTACTTGATCTAAATTTTAAGTAAATACACATCCCAGTTGTATAAATATAATCACCGATGCAGGAAATACTTGAAGTACCATGCACACAGCAAAACAACACAATACGACCAAAAAGCCAGCAAGATCCTCATTCATTGAAACCAAAACCTCATTGAAAGTATTATTTATCCCTATTGCTCTAGCTCTACGACCAAAGAAATTAAAAAAAACTATACAATGTTAACTCTCCTCAACAGGGGTGGAGGCACATATACGAGGGTCGTATCAAGTGACACCACCCTTCTTATATGTGACTTAATTATATATGTTCATTCATTACTTAGTTATTACGTAGGTTAATTCATGACTTTAATTGCAAAAGTAACACTATTTAAATCAATGAGTAGCCCATTAGTCTTTGATAGCCCAAGCCTAAATAAAGTTATCTTGTATAAATTTAAGAGGTTTGATTCCAAGATACCATATGTCAAAGAGCTAGCATCAGTTTTTCAAAAAGAAAAAAGATGACAAAGTGGATGAATCACAACTTATTTAGTAACTACATTGAAAAGGATGTATTCAGTAGTATTCAGAATGCGACTATTATGCAATGACTGGTCAATTATAATTATGTCGAGTTAAATATCTTCTGTATGTCACTAAAGTTCCGATTATATAACAGCTATGATCAGCCTCCCTAGCTTAAAATTATGAAAAAATCAACCAAATCACCACCAATTCTGAACCTATTCCATTAAACACTTCAATATAATCACAGATCTAATGAGATCCCCCAAAACTCAATCCCAAAACCCTAAAGTATCAAACTTTAACAAGAACAAACAAGAATGAGAGAGAGAGAGAGAAAAAAACCTGAATCGTCATCGCCTTCTTGTTGGTTTCCAGCTGGCTCCCTGTAAATCAACCAATACAACAGCAGATCAACCTTCGAATAACCAAACCAAACCCCAAAAATCAACCAAATCGATCGAAAAAAATCACAAGAAATCGAGAGAGAAGAAAAGATGGACCTTTTCCAGCTGCCTTTTGCTTCTCCAAGTTCCTCTCGCGAGCCATCTTGGATTTCTGTGCGTTGCCTCCTCCCATTATCGATCTCCACCAAAGATCCTTTCTTTGGTCAAACAAAAGAGGAGAATTGAATTGCTAGGGTTTTTCAATGAGACGAGAGGAGAAAATTAGAAGGAAGGGCGAAGAACGAAGAAACGCGGAAGGGATTATATAGAGGGTGAATTTTCACAAAACCCTCCTCAACTTTGGGATGATTTGCATAAAACACCCCGACCCTCCGGATGCTTCGCATAATGCGAGTCCCCCACGAATCTTTCAATAATTAAACATTAGTAGCTCATATATTTGGAATTGCTCCTACGTCCATCAAATTTTAACGTGCTCCGCAAATTGACCATTGTTTGTTTTTAATTAAATTTTGAAATCACGGTTGGGTTAATTCTTAATTGAACACGCTCAATTTACCAAAATACCCCTCAAGCGATGGGGAAGATAAAAAAAATGACCATTGGGGGAAGCTAAGAATGGGATAGGGGCATCTTTTGACTTTTGGGGAAGAAGATATTTATGATTTTTAAAATTTTAGTTGGCTAGTTTCAGGTCTAAACTCGTTATGAAACGAGTTGGACTAAACTTAATTGAGGGGTATAACTGAATGTTTTTCTCTAAACATTAGATTTAAGGGAATATTTTCCCTAGATCTGACATTAATTAAGCTGAAGGAGTAATGTGCTAGACCCCTTTTGTATTTGAGAGACGTATGGGCAAATCTAAAGATTAGAAGGACTAATATAGAATTATTGTATGTGAGTGACTAATAATTAAAAAAATTCCTTTATAGTTTGAGGAAACCCTCTAAAATTTGATAATTTCCATAATTCCAAACTTTAAAAAAGTTAACTATGAAGCTTGGGCAAAGTTACTTGTGAGGAATTTTCGGGAAGATAGAATAGGACACACAAAAGAGAGAGAGAGAGAGAGAGAGTTTACGGCTTTACTAGCGATGAAAGTAGGGGTGTGCAACGGTCGGTTCGGTTCGGTTTTTATTAAAATTTGAACAACCGAACCGAACCGCCTATAATTCAAAACCGAACCGAATTGTTGTAAGTCGGTTCGGTGCGGTGCGGTTCGGTTCTAACTTCATCAAACTTCTTATCAAACAACAAATTGTGTTAAAGAAAAAAATATATCAAAAAAGTAGGAGATTATGAAACATTAAACACTGATATAAAGATATTGTTTTGAACCCATAATGATTCAGAAAATTAGTTTAGGGTTTGAGTCTTTGACTCTTTAGGGACGTGTCGGGTAGGGTTTGAGATCAGAATGGATAGTATTGCACTATATTCGGTCGTGTCGGGTAGGGTTTGAGATCAGAATGGATAGTATTGCACTATATTCGGTTCGGGTCGGTTCGGGTTGAAAAGTTTTCAAACTGACCCGAACCGCCCTACTCATAAAACCGATTTTTTCGGATTAGTTCGTTCGGTTTTTTCGGTTTGGACCGAACCATGCTCAGCCCTAGATGAAAGTTATTCTTTTTATGAAAGGTATTTCAGTACGTGAAATTTTTTAAAATCTTTTCTTTTGACTCCCCAAAGTATACGAGGTGTTCTCTGATTTTTAAAGCTCGTGAGGACTTTATTGCAAATCACTCATATCTCATGAGGAATTTGTGACAGAAAACTTAACCCTGATTAAAAGCTTGGGCGTTGTAACATTGACAGAGAGATTCTGGGCTAGGCTTTAGTGGGAATTTATTCGGGCTGATGGGTCCAAAATGGAGCTCCAAATATTTTATTAATATTTTCTGGTTGGAGCCTGTATTTGAAAACGACCTGCAATTATGTCCGCATCAATTAATTAATATTGACCCAGAAGGTCTAACAGAGCCAGTATTTTGTATTTTATTCATTTTATTACTTCGCCCACCTCATATTTTTCGGCCGTTTAGATTCGGAGGATTCGTTCCTTCTACTCCATCATCGTCTTTAATTAGTAAGAAGTTTTGGTTAAGAAGAGTATCAGTCTGATATTGTTTGAAATTTATAATAAATTATTTATAAAAACAACTTATAAAAGTAATTTATATAAGCTGTTGGAAATATGGTAATTATTATTAAACTATTAAAAAATACTTAAAAACAGTTAATGTGATTGGTAGAATGTGCTTAACAATCATTGTTATAGGCTAAGCATGCATACATATATTAACTATAAATATCTTATTTAGAGATTGCATATTTTGGATCTTTAGAAGGATTGCTACGAACCTCAATCTACGAACGGTCAAGAAGCAATCACATCGAGATGGTGAAAAGCTCTCACGAATCATCACGTAACTAACTCCAAAAATACAGAATTGAGAGAGAGAGAGAGAGAGAGAGAGAGAGAGAGAGAGAGAGAGAAGGAGGATATGGCAGTATTTGTTTGTCTCTTTTATCTTTTCACAATACGTTCTTATTTAAATAGAGAAAATATCCAATTCTAATCCAATTAGAATTCGTTAAATATCTAGATAAGATAAGTCCCACTTATTTGTGTGTATCATTATCCATCTATGACTAAGATACTCTCACTCATACAAATAAAATGGGTTCCATCCATAGCTTCGTAAACCATTGACTCCCTTAGTTAAAATCTCCCCGAGATTCTTCTTTCTTTTTAATATTGCATCCATACATTGTTAGTGCAGCGTGAACCCTATAAGCGGATAGCCTTGCAGCCACATCCATTATGACTAACACAAGGATCTCCCTAAAGAAAATAAATATACACAATAAAAGTTTAAGTATACGGTATTTCGTACCCCAGATCTGATCAGTCATATCTGCTCAATTAGTTGCAATCCCTTGAAGAAACGTACATGAACACCATGGTCTACCCTTGATCCATCACACTCTTAAATTTTGTCCTTGACATAAGAGTTATGAATGCGATACAATCAGGAGACATGTCTATCGACCTTCCTCTGACTTTGAATAGTTGAGCATGTTAGTCACCCTCTTTCCTAACACTACCTCATATGTGTGGTATTTTCGCATTAGGAAACAATAGTCAAAGTAGCGGACACTCATAACAGCCTTCCTATATAGTCTAATGTCTCTAAGGTATAGTGATTGCCCTCCACTACTGGCGGCCATCTATAAGGGCTCACATAATGAGGGAGCAAGGACCACCCCTAGACCTCCTTATTTTCAATCCATGCACACGTTGTATGGCTATGTACTACGAGTATTACTTCTCTCTCCCCCTGAGAGTACACCCCATCAAATGAATACCATACAGACCCAAGTTCCATTATTTCATAATCAACTTGTTCAACCATACTGCCTCGCAATATGCCTAGGATTTCTCGACAAACCCGCATCCCATGCGCAAAGTCGGATCGCTAGTTTAGCTGATAGTAAATAGGTAAAGTGAACATGAAATATCTACTTCGGTAGCTTCAACATGTCCTGACCTAGTCAGGGTGACAAATAGAGTGCTCTCACTGTCATAACACCTAGTATTGCGATAGTGGTACCATTGCTCTAAGCCAAATAATATTTAGCACTATCTCTCAGCTTCCACAATTACCACAGTTCTGAAGGGGATCTCTTATATGACAAGAGCTCCTACCTGCTAATGTAACTTTCTAATGATGCACCTATGCCTTTTATGTACTCCTTACATATTCTATACAAATATGCTGAAATAATGAAGCAATAATAAGACATAAGAAAATTCTAGATATGCATAAATTAGATGAAAAATATATATTAAAAATAAAATAATATCTTATAAAGTTGTCATATGTAATATTCTAAGTATCTCAGGTCCTAACTAGTATAAAATGTCACCATGGATGTAGCCCTAAGGCTCTAATATGTCGAATGTCATGATCATTTAATTCGTAAGGATAAACTTCAGCATAACCTTCTCCTTCTCTTGCTTTTTGATGAAATGGTATCAAATCTGAATATGCTTCCCATGATAATTCATGTCTTTCGAATAGCCAATTGCCGACATGCTATCATAATAAAGGAACATCTTATCCTCTGCATGTGGCACTATCGCTAGACTTTCTAAAATTTGTGTAGCCAAATAGCCTCTTATGCTGCTGTGCATGGCACTACAATATTCCACCTCTATAGTGGAAAGAGCAATAGACTATTGCTTCTTACTATACCATGAAATGGCCCCATCATTAAGTAAGAAGACATAACTAGAAGTAGACGCACACTCATCCTAGTCTTCGGCCTAGTCAACTGCATATCCTAGTAATCAAGTGTTTGAACCATCTAAAATGAGAAATCCCACTCAGATATCCTCTTGACCCCTCTCCAGTGAGCCATACCAAAATTGGACTGGTACCTCCTCATCAGTCCTACTGTGAAAGATATATTGGGTCTCATACACATCATAGCATACTGAGTCTCATACACATCATAGCATACATAAAACTACTGATTTCACTTCTATAAGGAATGGTTAGCATTTGTTTCTCTTCAGCTTCAGTCTTGGGACATTGCTCTTGACTTAGAGCATGAATCTTAGCGATTAGAGATCTAATGGGTTTATGACCTTTCATGCCAAACTATTCTAAGATCTTCCTTATGTAAGTCTCCTGAGAGAAACCCACGGTTCTCTTAGGGGTTGTTTGTTTCACTTATTTTATAGAAAAGGAATATCATTTGGAACTGACATTGGCAAAATCGTAATTAAAGGATTCCAAATGAATCCTAATCTTGAGTTTTGTTCAATAAAAATTATAGATTTTAAAATCTATAAAGTGGTCAAAACAGTGGTTTTTTATGGAAACCCAAATCCTCTCCGTTTGAGAGGAATTGGGGGCAAAAGTCTGACATCCTGTACTTTCTCTCTTTCCTCTTTCTTATTCGGATTCCGCCTCTTCACGAGCCCAAGATCTGGTTGAGGTTGTTCCCGTTGTTCTGCTCCCGCCTCATCTCCCTC